ATCCTCACGGTGTCAGGAACTTGTGCTAGTTGTAAAATGCTATAGTTTGTGTGAGCCTCAGTGGACTCATGTACGGTAGGCAGAACGGCTCCTATAGTCTGCACTCATGTTTATGAAAATCTCTGCGGATTTAATCCGACAAATAAAATTGGGTTGATGTCGGGGGTTCTTATTGAATATAATTGCAGTGGTTGAATATTAACTCCAACGGCATACAATTACCTCTAATGCTGGAGAATAGTTATAAAATTTACAGCACATGCCCTACCAGTGCTCCTAAAACGACCAGTTAAATTTAAAACGACCATTTAAAACGACCAGTTAAACGAGGAATTGGAACCACCACCACGTACTTCCAGGACTACTTATTCTAAAGGCACAGAGAGTGGAGACTGTTCTACATACAGATATTTACGTCCGTAGGCATTACTAATCTGCTATTATGTGATTGACATTAGAGTTTAGTGCATTATAATTGTTTGGAGATAATATATGCTCCAGTTGTCGATGTCCATGGAATATGGTTGAAAACTCTGAGCTTCCTGAGAACTCTGAGCTTGCTGCAGCCTTTTAATTTTTTAACTCATTTATCTCTGGAAGTTTAATTTCCATTAACCTGTTTAGTATTTAGTTCAGTATTTACGGAATACAGCGCAGTTTTTGATAGTTGTTGTATTAAATGTGGTAGACACGTTTTCCTGGTACGGGTGACGAAGTGATTTCAATGATAGCAATACCAGTCTAAGTGAGTTCTAACTGTTGACAAGTAATTTGGTATTCTGGTGTCTAGACTTCGGACACCTTCTCAATACTTCACTCTAAAGTTTTATTGTTGAGTTTTACGCGCTCGTTTTTTACTCTTATCTTTACAGAAACACTGTGTAAGACCCGGGAGATACCATACGATGTCCATTGTCAACTCTAAACAATCTTAACAAGCCACTTCTTTACCTTGTCTGCCAGAATGTTCTTAAAATAATTACACTACCTCAAATATTGATTTATTTCATACCGGTCTGCTGCTACAACTTGGTATCTGCAGCTGACAGCTCACTGCTAGTACTATATTTTGCTACATAGAAAAGTCTAGACATTGAGTCACGTCTTTTGTCCTATCGGCTACCTAACATTAGCTCTTTCCATGGCGTATTACGAAACTGCAGTATTACTCTTTGGGCGTGCCCTTTCTCTTTCAACAGAATATACATCTTACATGTTGCTATTATGCCTAGTGTGTTTGTTTACAACGTAAACCTCGATTTTCTCCTGACACTTTGATCTGATATACACAGTTTATGTGTTACTTCATATTATATCGCTGATTTTCCAACACTCACAGTGTTAGTCTCTAGATTGAAGGGGAATGCACCAGATGGCGCCTGAATTGCACCTCTGCAGCCATCAATTCATTCCTGTCCTCTCATTTATCATTGCTCCGTTAACATGACCACGAAACAATGTCAATTGTCAATCATTATATCCTTATTAGTCGCTGTAGTAAACACGATACCCCTCTCTGTACAGTGTACCCTGTCTAATGCATTCATGGGTACTTGTTTTGGGAACCCTATACCATGTACTATACACTGTGTAACCATTCTACATAACTTTAATAGGTAATAGTTCCAGGTACTATGTATGTAAATCATATTGATACCGTTTATTGGGACATTGTAGTTTAAACTATTATTCTTTTAAAATTCTAATACCATGTGAGTTAGCTAGTTTCCAGTCTTATTTGGTTCAAAACTCCAGACTAAATTACTATGTAGATCTGTTCACTAACCAATATGTACTGTGTAGCTATTTTACTATCTTTGGCTAATTTATCACGTGGGAATCTATCATATCCAATAAAACAGTCTAGAAAGATATTCTGCTCAAGTCTATTAACTGAATCCAGAAGTTTTATTGGTGATGTATAATTGCAGTAGCAGGATGTTTCATGATCTCTACTGGTCTCGCGTGTAGATCCTGCAAAGTTCTTAGTTGAAGGTTCCTTTCAGTTCGGGTCTTGTTTGGACCTATGTTGCCCCCGGTCGACTTTAGAATGAGGGCAGTCATTGAGGGTTAAACAAGCAGATAACATTGTGCACTGTTTAGCAAATCGGCGTTCTGTAGAAAGTTGTAGTGTTGTAGTGTTGCAGTGGTGACCAGGCTACAAATTTACTAACTATTTCCTTTTCACGAACCTATAACTTCTAGAAGTCTGAAGTTAGAATTGAGTTTCCTCCCGTAGTTCTAGTTTATTGAATGAATGTGTAGCGTGAACTAAAATTAGCATGAACTATTACAACTGCAGTAGCTCTAAAGAAGTGTAAAATTAGAACTATTCAGCTTGTGGTAGTTCAGCTCCGTTCGGAGAGAGTTTTTAATAGTCGGATATTAGAACACACAGTTGGTTTAAACGGCGTGGCTTTAATGATCAAACTACTTGTACTTCTCGGTGTACCTTATGACATAAACAGGCTTTATACCATAGCGGTGTTGAGCTACATGCACATTTTGGCAAATTAACTTTAAACTTTTAAACCTGGATCTGTCCACGCCCCACAGCTAGCTCTGCAGCTAATATATTATCCAGAATTTGGGATGCTTGTTAGGGATATTGTATTGCGTGACTCGACAGCTTGTTCCACAAGATATTGGGTTGTGTATGCATGTTTTTGTTTTACTTCTAATGGGAATATATGAAAAAAAATAATAATTCGTTTAGGCCTCAGGTGTGTAAATACCAAAACCCTGCTGTTCTTGTACGTGATGTACATTCTGACTTGAACATTTTTAGATCAAACGAATTTTTGTGAACGACTCTGTTAACAGTTCACGACTATTTCGGTCTCTGTTTCCATTTTTAAAGCTTTTGTCCCGTTGTCCGGCTTCCAAAACTTGCAAAGTAGAAAGAAATGTGACCACCTTCTGAAAGATGTTCGCATACTGCAAATTTATGATTTTTTATTAGATCAATTATTTGATTATATATAATTTATATGTATTTATCGTTGTCAACCGCAACACATAAGAAGCACCATTTTATATATATATATCTAAATTATTGAATAATCATTTGTGTTGCGAAATGTTATATAATCGAAATATAATTGAACTTGAACATGGGCGGGGTGGTGGGTAAACATTGCTTGGTCGTTACAGAGAGTTGGGTGGTTATCTGAGTTGGGTGGCTGTATCATGACACATTTGAGTCACCTCCTCCTTCGTGATTTGCTAGTCCATGACGTGACCGTGACTGTTAATATTAACAACTGTGTGATACTACTATATGCTTGCTAAGGTGTAACCTGCAAAACGTGACTTGCTTTACATTTAAAAAGCAACAAGGTGAAAATAGTAGAGCTGCTCACTGCCAGTATCTGTTATGCACATTGCACAAGCACACAGGCCAATTGTATATTTTCATGTTGTGCTGTTGTGATACACACGAGGGTCTCTTTTCTTCGCCCAATAAACACAATTGTGGCTGTACGGAACATGTTGAACTGTAAAAGAGCGAAGCAGCTAGGCACATCTCATGTTGAACTGTAAGAGAGCGAGGCATCTAGGCACATCTCATGTTGATTTTTGAACTGTAAGAGAGCGAGGCAGCTAGGCACATCTCATGTTGAACTGTAAGAGAGACAGGCAGCTAGGCACATCTCATGTTGAACTGTAAGAGAGCTAGGCAGCTAGGCACATCTCATGTTGAACTGTAAGAGAGCAGACAGCTAGGCACATCTCATGTTGATTTGTAAGAAAAACAGGCAGCTAGGCACATCTCATGTTGAACCTTTACGAAAGACAGGCAGCTAGGCACATCTCATGCTGAACTGTAAGAGAGCTAGGCAGCTAGGCACATCTCATGTTGAACTGTAAGAGAGCGAGGCAGCTAGGCACATCTCATGTTGAACTGTAAGAGAGACAGGCAGCTAGGCACATCTCATGTTGAACTGTAAGAGAGACAGGCAGCTAGGCAATCAGTAGGCATCTTCCTATTGCACAGCCTGTTTAGTTACCCTGTACCTTAATAATACATGAGATAGCTAATTATATGATATAATTATGTAATACGGTTCTAGCTTTGTCAATGATCGGCGGTACACTCTGTCCAGTGCCGGCACTGAAAGGTATGTTGTACACAACGACACAGCTATGCTTTTATAATCGGCATTTGGCAACCGTGGATTCTGACGTCACCTACACTTACGCTATTTTCAGGTGAGGGACCTGTACTGCTTTTCTGGGGCTTATAGTTATACATTTCGGGTTTACCGCAACAACCCGTTAACCTGTGAGCCACGTTTAATTTATGTGAGCCACGTTTTTTTACCAGAGCTGTTTCCTCATGGATTATAAAATCAATAGTTTTGCTTGCTTAGTGCTTAACAATGATTTGCTTGGTGGTTGATGAATTGTGGATTCAAATTTTTGATGCGTTTATTATGACTTTATTACACAGTAACACAATCTTATATGTTATTGCTTACCACCTCACAAAATACCGTCATGTACTTGGAAACATGTGCGGATAATTATTAAATCGTCATTGCTTTCGACCGTTATATTCTTGATAATTATATTATCTCCACTTTAATGAAGGTTTTATCGGATTCCAGAAATAATTTCCACACGATGCAGATATGAAATCATTTTCTTGATTTATAGAAAATACTTTATTAGAAAATAAACATTAAAATGTTCCAGATTAGTTTTAAATCCATTAGAATGAGCCATTCCGGCTTGCCAGAATAAAATTGTTATGATCAGGTTTATGTTTAAAATCGAGCATGTTAAAAATTCCAATCTTTATTTAAGAATTGGATTTAGCTTATCAATGATTTAATCGCGCCTCTGTTTGACTGTGCAATAAACTGCCTTCACTTTAACTGAGAGATAATTATCATTGCTTACCATGCAACAACAACACCGATTTATTTGTTATTTAAGAACTACATATTTGCTTTTGTACTTGAAATACCATAAAATCTAACCAATTATCTCTCTAGCTGTAGAGGTAGGGATGGGTAAACCGAATAGTAAGCTGAAGCCGGAGGTATTACAAGATCTATCATCTAACACTGAGTTCACAGAAGCCGAGTTACAGGTTAGTCTATATCACAGTCTACACATCAAACAGTGTGTAACCCGTATTGTGACGAGTCCAACCTCACTAAGTTGGTACAGAAAGACCCAGATTTACCGCGGAGTTAGGGGAAAGAAAACAGCCGCTGTAAATAGGGGGTTTACTGTACTTTACTCCAAGCATGTATGAATCCCCTTCAAACTCGCCCATCAAGCACAGTATTTCGTACATGTCGTTATATACGGTAGCTAGGTAGCTAATAGGTCGGTGTCCTAATTAACTATGTCCATGGTTGTGAGGTGTATTTAACTTGGATTATAATTGGTTACAGAACTTTCAGATTCAAACCAGACATTTCAAGAACCTTCTTTTACAAAATATCCTGTGTATTGTCTTACCATTGTCAATTGTTACTGTACACCAAAAAGTTAAAAAGCGCCATTCTGAAATTTGATAAGCTATATAAATGGCCCGAATGTAGATTTTATTTCATATTCACGGCGTCTATTGTAAAGCTGTAACTTTCTTAGCAACATAACAGCAAATACCCGGGAGATCTTTTACATAGCTATAGTGATGTCACAAGTACTCTTAAACACTCTAAAATTGCGTCCGTGGTCGTCACGGAAGATCATGGACGTTGTTGAAAATTGTATTTCATGTACACTGTACAGTAGAAGTACACGTTATTATATGCACTATAATTATAGCTGACCTTATGTCAATCTGAATAATATTTTAAAGATCTTATCAATCATTATATTGTAGCCTGCTGTATTTAATTGCAAGCAATGTGCTCAGCTAAAGTCTACATTATTCGTGGTATGATGCTATTCTTAGAGTTACATTATATGTGAATTAGACAACTGATGTCAAGCAAGGTATAATTGTGTATCTTTAAATAATACTACTTGGTGTCATTTGTTCCAGTACATGACAGTAAAGGTATCTTGACACGTACACATAATTCTAGGAAAATTCCGCGAATAACTCTGCCATATTTTGGATTCTGTCTGGATCCTAGATTAAATAATATACCATGGATTTAAAGTATTAGGATAACTTCCTAATCATAAAATAGAAGAGCTGCAATAACGAGTATCTAGATAGTTGTGGTCACTGGCCTGTGTCCTATTCTAGCAATATGCCTACATAATATGTAGCTTATCGTCGGCTCGCTTACATAACAGTTACAGCGGCTATTATCTCTGGTCAGTTGTCACTGACCTTGAGACCTTGCACCGAGTGTGATTCATTTTCCCGTGCCGCTGAGATGAAATATGGATGTGATCTCATTATACTAGGGCTTCATTCCCTGGGGATTCCTCTTCATTCTAGAAATTATACATGTTTCTTGATTGAATTGCATTAGTGCAAGTTGAAGCTGAAAACTAGAGGGCAGTGTAGCGTACAGACTAATGAACTGCTATATTATATAATGTATAATGTATAAATATATAATTATACATTAACATAATCTAGAATAAATCTAACAATTTAAACTTGGCTTCTTCACCCTGGATCGGCGACACTTTGTTGCCAACCCGTTACTGCAAAGTGAATCTTTTATAGCAAATTTTATAATAAGTAAGGATCAAGCTGAAAATAAAAGCTTCTAAATGGTCCACTTAACGTAGAAGGTACAAAAAACGTGAACAAAAAGTTATCTTATTGTATCAAGTTTGGCAAAATTTGCTGGCAGACCTTAGGTCTTTATTTCAATTTTAGTTTGAAAGTTGAGACAAAAGATCGAAGGATTAAAGTAAAGAAGCTTGGTTTATCGTACCTTTTTAATATGTTTGCACTGAGAATATCACAGTTGTCAGTTAGTTACGTAAGCTGAGAATTTTGGTATTCGGCTAAAGACCTAGGGTATTATAGCCACTCATTATTATTTAAATCTTAATCCTAAATATCTGTTTATAAAACTATAGCAATCAATATAATCATAAAAATGGTACCTACACCTGCACCATTTTTATAGTCACCCGATTATTATTAATATGTATTTAAATGATCTCAAGAAACCATTTCCATAGAATAAAATATTATGATAGCAACGACCAACGTATTTAAATAACTATTAGAGACCAGTCATTTTTAAGTATCGGAATAATATTAATGCGATGTGTACCCCTCCTACGTCATAAAATATCTTTTTGCAGTAGTGCATCGCGTCGAACAGATCATTTAATGCATTTTTTCGCTAAAAGTAGATAAATTTATAAGTGATAATTCCAAAATGGACACACTAACCTTCTCAGTCACTGCAGAGTGCAGACGAGCACTACTTTTTGCTAATACTGCACTCAAATAGTGGGAGGACCTATATTGGATCAATTTGTTAGATGGATAACCAGAGATGCTAGTTGCGTAGTTTGATATAAATAGTAGGGTGGGGTAGGACCTGACAAAAGATTAATCAACCTGATGACTGATCATATCATTAAGATTATATCCACTAGAGGACCTGCTATCTAGCACAGTTATCAAGATTAGATACGCGCAATTTCCGACGGATAGGATCTCGTGGGGGTTGATTATATATCCAGGACAGTTGTTGCGTTATTTATAAGTTTGATTATAATTTGCCGTGTAGAGCAAACATTTCACTTGAGCAGCTTGTTGAGCAGCCTCAGACTCGACATATGGATATCAAGAGGGTATTTTTCCGTAGTTAGGGGGTTACAATTTACATTTTACTCATTGAATTTGTGATTTCCCAGCCACCCTTCTCCTGGGAACCGAGAAATAGTACTCAAAGCAAGATTCCCCCCTAGTAGTAAAGAAATTTGTAATCTGTAAAAGGAAACTTTCACTACATTTGTCTTATTTATAATCCACTGATAACGTTTCTACCTCAGGAGTGGTACAGGGGATTCTTGAAGGATTGCCCGACCGGTAAACTTAGTGTGGAGGAATTTAAAAAGATATACGGTAATTTCTTCCCTTACGGAGACGCAAGCAAGTTCGCGGAGCATGTCTTCAGGACCTTCGATGCCAACGGAGACAATTCAATAGATTTTAGAGGTAAGAACGGTTGAGATCCCCCGGGATATTTTATTTTTTAGCTTGGTACTTTTCCTCATAGCTTCCTGTGTCCGAGTGGGGTGGAAACATTTTTGCCAGAAAATTGCTTGTGCATGTTGATGTACCTGCCAGTAGAAAGCGAAGGATGCGTTTAATATATAGCATCTGTATTACTATTAATTATAAAAATTTACAACCCAAAATGCATACCTCCTATTTTCGCTATGATCTGTTATCATGGTCGTTGTAGGAGTGAGTAAAAGCTTTTAAAGGTTTGGTGTGATAAATACTTAATGATGTTTAAAATTCATTTAAAGATCATAAATATCATCAGAATGTCTTAATTGTATAGTGTATTATAAATTATAATGCAAATTACCGTTTAACCAGACTGCTTTAAAGATGCCAATTAATATTGTTAGACAGTTCTGTTTAAGTTGTGACATCAATTATTCCTCTCCGGCAATATGTTAGCTCCTTGTATATTAGGAGCCCTCGCCCCTCCTTCCACAACGGCCGTAGCAATATAACCTTAACATTACAAAATATGAGTCAAGGATTAGTGTACGCCGTAGGGATAATTTATAATATTGTATATCCTAACCCGGCCCATTTTACACAAAAGGCATGACGGTTGACGTTACATTATAATATATCCTTTAGATAATAGCTTATTGAGCCTGGGTAGTGGGTTACAAGCTTGGTTGGTGCTAAGTAATTATAAAAACTGCAATTATTAATACAGCTCATTAAGTAAGGTAACACGGTTATTTAACTCCAGTCAACTTTGTTCATGCTTTGTTCAAAGGACTGTGGATATGGAGTTCCTGTCATGATAGCGTTACACACAAGATCATTGTAGTTTTAAAATCCGCTTGATTTGGTCTAAACCCAACAGTGTGAGGACAGTGTTTGGAGCAGTGCTCAGTGTTGTAACAGGTATTGTGTGAGATGCACATAATAATAGTATCCCCGTGTAGTACCGAACATGACAGGACATGACATTAGGCTTAATATCGGGATGGTTATACCATTCTCCACTCACCCGTACAGCTGAATCAATAGTATTTTTGACACCAGTGTTACTGGTTACATTGTCACATGACTCATACACAATACTCTGTTGTATGCCCACAATATTAATGCTGTATTGTATATCATAACCAAACACAATCTCGATTCTGGGCAGTTGGAGCAAATGATTGACCTAAAATGGTTAAAATTTTTGTGATACCCTTACACGTATAATAACTAGAGGAAATAGTTCAATCCCATTATTATTAAAGCGGTGGCAGTTATTAGCATGAGCACTCAGTTGGAAGACACACTCTTGTCCTGTTTAAACATTTAGGAACTTATTTAGGTCATGGTAAGAGCTTAAGCTTTAATTTGCAGGATAAAAACCCACAAGTTTGTTGTCCATTCATGATGTCCAAACAGTATTATGTGCAAATTAAAGCCAAATAATCTCTAACTAAACAATAATAATCCACTTTCACAGCTGTTGATAAAATCAACCACTTTTTGAATCCGTTTTATTAATTTCCTTACTGGACGGCATTTGTTACAAATCTCACTTTTGTTTCTTACTTACTTTGGTAGTTTGCACTTGTATGTATTAGATGTATAATTATACACTACCACAAGCAAATCTGCTGAATACAATTAACTGGTGAAGCAGTAATACTAATGGTGGTGAAACAGTAATGGTGGTGAAGCAGTAATGGTGGTGAAGCAGTAATGGTGGTGAAGCAGTAATGGTGGTGAAGCAGTAATGGTGGTGAAGCAGTAATGGTGGTGAAGCAGTATTGGTGGTGAAGCAGTATTGGTGGTGAAGCAGTATTGGTGGTGAAGCAGTAATGGTGATGAAGCAGTAATGGTGGTGAAGCAGTAATGGTGGTGAAGCAGTAATGGTGGTGAAGCAGTAATGGTGGTGAAGCAGTAATGGTGGTGAAGCAGTATTGGTGGTGAAGCAGTATTGGCGGTGAAGCAGTAATGGTGATGAAGCAGTATTGGTGGTGAAGCAGTATTGGTGGTGAAGCAGTATTTGTAGTGAAGCAGCATTTGTAGTGAAGCAGTAATGGTGGTGACGTTTCCTGCAGAAATTGTGCTAAGTGCTGTGTTATATAATACTGGATATATACAACTGTACAGGGCCCTGTGTACTAAATTAAGTGTACCATGTGCTCTAGATACATTCTAGATATTACATTTACCGGTATACACCACACTGCACCTCCTGGTTGTGGCCCACTATTATAATACTGCCAATAATTCCTGATATATCCCCGGCAGCTACCACGCAATGTATTGATGAGGGCTTGTACGTCTAATTAATATATCAGCTCTCTCTAGCTCTCTCCCTCTCCCTCTCTCCCTCTCCCTCTCTCTCTCTCTCTATCTCTCTCTCTCTCCCTCTCCCTCTCTCCCTCTCCCTCTCTCTCTCACTCTATCTCTGGGTTGTGTTCTAGCAGAGAATGTACAGATTATAGAGGTGTTGGTGTAATTACTTGGGAGAGAGCGTGTTTACCTGGCTTCACTGTCGTATCTGTTCCACAAGACCTACAACTCGCTGTGTACTGTGTGAGTGTGCGTATGTGGCCTAACTTCGCGGCTTCTAGCTGTGAGAAGTAGCTTTATAAGTAATTAGGAATGATAATGATAAATACCCGCCATCTAGCAGCATGTTTATCAAAACTAATGCCACTAAAGATACAATATTTCCAAGACCAGATCTTTCGTCTTCCGTCTTTTGTCTCGGGGATTGAGATCCATTATAGAATATACATAACCTCGCCCAGATCACGTAGAATACCAAGCTAATTCTAATGAATGAACGTGTGTCTCCAACTTGAATTAGTTGGTCTGCCTACACTCTTAAGGAAGGGTCAATTCAACCTCATGTACTGAGAGCTGAATAATCTATTGGTCATTAGATCTAGCTCTCTCAATGAGTTGGGTGAATTTTTACCTTGAGAAGCTGCATAATCAGCTATTCATGACATGTTTAGTGTTTGTGCATTGTGTTCGCATCTGGATGCCCCATTACCGAGTGATTATGTGACTAGACTCCTTTCTCTCATCCAAACTTCCCATGCTTCCCTTACTTCTTCCTCGCCATACAATTAGTACATGTGGTTGATTTTTGGATGCAAATAGTTGGAGAAGCTTCGCCGAATCACCAGAGTTTCCATAAATATCTACATCGGAATGGTATCCCTATCAAAAGACGTTTAATATGTGCCGGATACTCTGAGATTGAGAACATCTCATGAACTGATGTCAAGCCTTTGACCCCACCTCCAACAACAACGCGAACGTTATAATCTATTTCTGACTGAGCAAAGTTTTCAAATATGAAGATATAACGTCATGTTTAACGTAAAACTGCTGATCGGTCTGTTTTATGGGTGTTCAGTGGGCGTGCAGTGGCCAGTGGGCGTACGCGTGGGGCACCGGGCAATTAGAGGTGGGGCAATTAGAGGTAGGGAAATTAGCGCCACGCTGTCTGGATAAGCACCGGTAATCCTCCAAATTATCCCTAAAAGAGGCCGATCTACTGACTAAGATTACGAAAACTCGTGTTTCCTCATGTGTAGAAAAATGTCTGATCCTCGCTTGAAGAGATACTATCGGATGTCAGCTAATGGGCCCGGCGAAACGACAGATGGGCAAAAATTTCATGAAACTAATGCTCAGAACTCAATCATTTCTCTTCGATATTGATGCATCTTCAAGTTGGAGAGAAAGTTAGGTTTCATGGTTCCTGCCAGACTAAATATCTGTCCTTAAATATTTCCTTCGAGGTGATTTGTTTTCTTGCTCAAGCAGTTCATCGAAATCCATAATTTACGTTAAGTTAATATAACTGTATTATATAAATATATAATTGTCTAATCTAACTTTCGAATTGGATTGGTTAAACCTTTACACCTTTTAAAACATTAAAAACGGGTAATTGATTGCCTTATCATCAGATTATTGGTGCTTAATTAAAATAACGGCACGAAGTTGCCCATTACGTGTTGGATCACTATTCCTTCTCACTACTCAGTAGCATTTTGCATAATATATTAATCTGGATAATTTCCACGCTGGTACAATTACAACTTAACTGAGAAATTCTAACAGTTACTTTCTAGAAGAAAGTTTTCCCACATCAATGATTGTGTTTGAGATTTTAATCATTGAAGTGAGTCACAAGTTCACACACCCTGCACTTCTAAACCTAACTGAATTCTGCATTAGCTATCCGTACTCCCCTTCCTAAACGATTTACGTATTACGGACTCCACCGCGGCAATGCCTCCCGGCTCCCACGACGTCTTTAACATGTCTGAGCGTGTCTCATTCCTACTTCTTTAAAAACACGTCAGGAACTAAAAATTTCTGCAGTTATCGCCCTTCAAACCTGTAATCATGAAAAAGAGTCAATGGCCAGCCACACTAAACCGTAAACGGAAGCGGCAAAATGTGGAAAAAGAAATTAGGAATGTATAATTAGTCTCTGTCACGTCTCACATTATCCATTTTTCACACAAGCAGTCGTAAGCCGTGAGCTGTATTATATGATAACCGCTTTTTGTTCTTGCGAAATGTTTCTAACCTGTAACACCCTTCAAACTGAAAGCAGCTTATAAACAACTGCTCACTTGCAGTTAGTCGTTCTCTGAGATTCACTCCTTAAATCCCACCGTTTTACTATAAAAACTCGGTTAGAAGCGCACCGGTATAAACTCTATATATCTACACCACATTGGTGAGGCAAAGTGCCAAAAGTGGTTCCTCATGATTCTAAACTTCATTGCTCACGAAACATACAATATGATCTCATTATATATTATGGAGGACGGAGGTCTGGAGGGTGTGCTTGATGATTGATCATGCTATTTTCTGCAAGAAACCATTACTGCGACTTCAACCATCTCTTTTCATATTGGGCCTGGCAAGATTGGCCTTGTACAATGTACATACTCTGCGAAATACAAACCAGGGGCTCT